ATTATAATAAAGCATATATAACTCTTTGAAAAAGATGGGACTTGTCTAGATTTTGAAATTCAAATTCTTACGGGTAATGATGTATTTGAATCTTGCACATCCACTTTGTAAACAACACCATACCGGAATATGAATAACCGTAGGCTCAAAATCGTCTCCATAACCCTTCTTCGAAAATGAGACTACAAAAGAATCACATTTTATCATAATTAAGAATTGTATATAAATACATGGTAATGGAAAAACAAGGATATTTTTTAAAAACTGTAGTACCAATTCTTCATCTCACCAAGCTTCCCAACTTTCTTCTCCTGTAACACTAATTCCACCTCTATAGAAGAGCTAATTTGTCCGGTCTTTGAAGTCCTCTACCGTCCTAAAAATGGAAAACAAAAAACAAGTATAAAATATAAAGATGATGTCATAAATTATAAAAATAAAAAAGAAACTCACTTTTGCCACTTGAAACCGGATGGATTGAACAAATAATGAGCAAAACGCCATGAAATGGCCATAAACCAACTGCTAACACTTAGAAGAATGTAGCATACTAAACCACCTGCATTGTATACATATGCAATGTACACCACTAACAATAAAACCACTTCCATTCTGTTTCAATAAATAAATAAATAAAATATTAAAACCATGAGAGAGAGTGATTATTCTAGAGAGAGAAAAAAGAGTACCCTTTGACCAAATGACTTCACGAATATGTACACAGTGATCACTGTTAAGTGTTAACTGCATATTAAACCAAAAAAGTTGTTAGCCGTTTAAAAAAAATAATACTATAAATTAATAAAAAAGAGTGTGTAGTCTACCATGGCGCAGAAGTAGAATCCAACGGTTATAAACTAGAACAAAAGCATCCGGAAGAAGTCAAAGAGTTCCCAAAACCTGAACCTTTTCCTTCATAATCCATCTTCATTCCCTGCTACCTTCTAGTTTTTGATGAAGAAGGTGATGGTGATGGTCATGTTGATGGTGATTGGATCAGTTGTTGCATAATGATCTTAATAATTCAAGAAATTCAGAATCCATTGATAGGTCTGGTTTATTTGTTCCACCAAAGTTGTATAGTCTTTTTTCAAAGAACTTGCAGTGAATCATTCCAGTACTATGAGCACCTGTAATGAAACTATATAGATTAAGAACTGAAGCAACTAGAGTAGAGAACTGAAGAATAGATGATTGATTTGTGTACCTAAAAGAGTGAACGTTTCTTTATCAGTGAAAACCCCCTGTTGCAAATCTTGCAATATTTGTAGAAAGATCATATAAGGGACTAGGAAGCTCATAGGAGAGTTGAGAGAAAGATCGACTGCTGTCTTTTCTACCTGTGTGAGCTGGATAAAATGGTCCACCGGCCTGTAAAAGAAATTAGATGTTAATAACCTAAAGTTTCATGTGTTCTTGAATGATTTGAAGAGGAAAAAGGTGAAAAGGGAAATGATTGGGAGATGAATGTGGTTAGTTACTAGAATCACACTCTCATAAGCAGCCACCACAAGAAGATCAACACAAGAAACTACACCAGGGCATGCATTTTCTAATTCGGCTTTGATGATCTCAAGATGTTCAAAACTAAAAACAATAAAACTGCTACAGCATCATAGCCATAACTCTGAATCACTATGTTAAGAAGATAGAATTATTGTTCTTCTGTGGTGGGTGAGGACACGAGTTTGTTGATTATACCAAGCACAACGTGTCTTAATCTCCCAGTCATGAAAAGCGTAACGTTTGATTTCTGTAGGTAAACAAAACTTCCGAATCAAAATGAAAATTCAATCTAGAAATCAAAGTGGAAGTTACTTGTTGATGGATACATTGTTCAAATATTCACAATTCTAATTTTAATTACCGTTAACCAATACGAATTATCAAATTAAACCTAAAAATCAATCGATGTACTAGAAAAAATAAGTTAGGGTTTTTTTACCAAAACTTGGAGAAAAAAGCTGAAATCGGATCCAATGGTAAGGTCCACCAGCTGCAGCAGCGACTTCGACGGTGGTGGCGGCGGCAAGAGAGAGAGGCGATGTTGATCTTCGTTCACACTGTGAGAAAGGGGAGCAACTTTACTTGTTTAAGGGGTGGTGGGTTGCATGTCGGACCGACAGTGGAAGGGAGAATGTATGTTGCGTCGACGGCTTTGAAGGAGCTGGAGGGATTTGCTGCCGGCGGTGATGGCGGAGGTGACGTCGTTGGCGGAGGCAATGGTCGGCTCGAGGCGGAAGGGATGGCCGACTGATTGCAGATCGGGGATGCTGGAACCTGAGGTATCGTGTGATTAGATAGAGAAGAGGGAAAGTGAGAGCAGGGCAAAATCAAACCCACAACGATTCGGTGAAGCTCACCCTTTAACATTCTCATATTTACCAAATTGTCCCTACTACTTAAAAAATAAAAAAGAAAATCAAATATTACCAACACGCATTTCCGACTGAACGGAAAATTGTTGATTTGTGTTGGTAAAGGGTCGGTAGTTGTTCAGTGGATAATGGCGTAATGGAGACCGGGGGAAAATTGAAGAATGAGGAAACTGAGGAATGAGGATGGTATGTTCAGTGGTTTATATTATGGGTCCTCGTCCTCCTATTTTTCCTTAATGTTTGAAAACATCACAATCTGTCACAACGCATTACCAATATCGACCATAGATCCTAAAAAGATGGAGGGTGAAATATCACCTGATATGAAACTTGAGGACCTTCTTGCAATTTATGACCAAGAAAAACTCAAATATTTGTCTTCGTTTGTTGGTCAGGTGTGAATTGTTCATCTTGTAAACAAACATCGCTTTTAATGTTTAGAAACGATTTGAAGATGTTTGACTTATGCAGAAAGTCAAAGTCAACGTGGTCTTGGCTGATAGAGGATCGAATAAACTAATATTTTCTGCAAAACCAAAAGAGAAAGATGAATCGGTTGAAAGAAAGCGAAGTCTCATGAATTCCTCTTCTCTTCTTCTATTTTTTTTTTGTTGTATTTTACATCTTTTTTATTTTTTTTTAATTTAATATTTTTATTTTGGTGTAATCAGGTTCTGGATGAAGATATTGGGCAAGACAAGCGTTTGAGAATTGTTTTATGTATTTTTCTAAACTTAAAGCTGAGGGTATAATCGAAAGTACAATGAATTCCTCTTCTCTTCTTCTATAGCAAGATCTTGCTCTTCTTTTGTAAACTCATGATACTTCACCTATATCTAAAATTATTGCTAAATTATATATGTGTTGACTATTTGACCATTTGACTGTTTGACTATTTTTATTTTTGTTGTTGAGTTTTCAAAAATAATTGTGTATTTTTAATCTATTTTTTTCAATAATCTTCTATATTTTGCTACGGAAACATATTTCGTAACTACTTAACTACGGAATTTTCCGTAGCCAAATACCTATGGATTTTGATTTCGTAGCTATTTTGCAAATTCACCTTTTTGTAACAAGTTCCATAATAGATTAGAATTTTGTAGCAAATTTTCCTAGCAAAATAGCTACGGATCCTAATTTCATAGCTAACTAGCTACGTATTTTTATTTCGTAGCCAATTATGTAGCCAACTAGCTACATACATGGATTTTGTAACAAGTTTCATAGAGAACTAGCTACACCCAAAAAACTTGTAGCATTATTTGTAGTAAACTAGCTACAGATTTTAATTCCGTAGCAACTATACAAGATTTACCTACGGAATGCAATTCCGTAGCCATTTCCGTAGCAAATTAGTTACAACCAACCATTTTGTAACATATTCCGTAATAAAATAACTATGAATTTAGATTCCGTAACAACTTTACGTAGCTATTTAAGATTTAGCTACATAATGCAATTCCGTAACCATTTATGTAGAAAATAGCTACGACAAGTCATTCCGTAGCATATTCCGTAGTAAAATAGCAACGAATTTTGATTCCATAGTAACTTTCCGTAGCTATTTAGGATTTTTCTTGTAGTGCAGGCCCATCAACCCTCATCTTCGCATGATGCTGCATATCACACATCCATTGTCACACTGGGTCGTCTTATCACTCCTCAACAATGGTTCCATCCTTTGGCTCAAGATTAAGCAACTGACCTTGCTCAAGCTTACAACACCATGTCCCTAAATGATGGGTCGGATGCTTCATGGTACATGAATACAGGAGCAACCTCTCACCTTGCATCCAACACAGGTAGCCTATTTTCTGATCAAAATAATAGTCCCGAAAAATTTGTTTTTGTTGGCAATGGTCACTCCATACCCGTCACAAACACTGGGTATTCCAAAATCGATTCCACTCACGGACCCTTACATCTTCATAATGTTCTTGTTATACCCAACATCATTAAAAATCTCATTTCTTTACAACTGATAATCTTGTTTCTTTGAATTTGACCCTTATGGTTTTACTGTGAAGGATTTGGGCACTCTCCAGGTCCTGCTTAGGTGCGACAGCTCTGGTGATCTTTACCCTGCTCCTCCATCTCTTCAGACTTTCGTTGCTCTTCTTTCCAACAGTTTATTATGGCATCGGCGTCTCGGTCACCCTGGCACTCATGTCTTCAATAAATTAATTTCTAGTCATTTTATTCAATGTAATAAAACTGTTAGTGCAGTTAATTGCCAAGCTTGTCAACTTGGCAAACACATTTGATTACCTTTCTCTAGTACTATTTCTACCGTTTCTAAACCTTTTGAAATTGTTCATTCAGATCTATAGCAATCACCAATTCTTAGCACAACTGGTATTCAATATTATGTCTTGTTTTTGGACCATTACTCGCATTTTATTTGGGTGTATCTGTTGCAAAACAAAAGTGATGTATTTAGCAAGTTCTTACATTTTTGTGCTTTTGTCAAAAAATCAATTTCAAACTGATATTCAAAATTTCCAATGTGATCATGGCGGTGAATTTGATAACAATATATTTCATAACCTCTTTGACCAAAATGGGATCACATTTCGTTTCTCTTATCATCGAACTTCCCAACAAAATGAAAAGTCGGAACGCATGATACGAACCATTAATAACATAATTTGTACATTACTTTTTCAAGCCCATCTCTCACCCACATTTTGGGTGGAAGCCCTTCACATGGCCACTCACATCCTCAACATCACTCCTTCTACACCAATCAAAAACGAAATCTCGTACACCAAACTTTTCAACAAACCTCCCGTCTTCACTCATCTTCGTGTCTTTGGTTGTTTATGTTACCCTCACATACTTACCCCACATAAATTAGCTCCACGCACCACACCATGCATCTTTCTTGGGTATCCATCCAATCATCATGGTTTCCGATGCTTCAACTTAGCCACACGAAAAATAATAATTTCCCACCATGTCGTATTCAATGAAGAGGTGTTCCTTTTTCAATCCATGATAGCAAATTGCGCCCCTTCATACAATTTCCTTAAAACTCCTCATACCCTTTCCCTCATTGCCCGTGATTTTCTCACCTTCGCCCTTCACCCTTCAAATATCTCTCCTTCCCATGATTAACCTGATCCTCCATCATCCAACACATGTCCTCCTACCAACCCTTCGGCTGCTTCCGGTCTCTCGGCCTCATCACCACCTCCCATTCCCGAATCTATCCCGACACCTACTCCTCCTCCTTCTTTCAGTCACCCTATGATCACCCGATCCCGTGTCGATATAACAAAACCTATAAATCATCTAAACCTACACACCTCAACTGAATCCCCCCTCCCTCGATCACACCTCCAAGCTCTTCAAGATCCAAATTGGACCATTGCCATGAAAGACGAATTCCGTGCTCTTATTGAAAACAGAACTTGGGTCTTGGTTCCGAGACCCCTGGGGGCTAATATTGTTCGCTCTATGTGGTTATTTAGAAAGAAATATAAAGCGGGCGGGTCTCCTGGGCGCTACAAAGCGCGTTTAGTCACAAATGGCAAAAGCCAGCGACCGAGTATTAACTGTGTTGTTTCTAAATCGGACACCATACGCACGATTTTAAGCCTTGTTGTTTCTAGGCAATGGCACATTCATCAGTTAGATGTTAATAATGCTTTCTTACACGACATCTGAATGAAACTGTGTACATGCATCAGTCTCCTGGATTTCGAGATCCTCACTATCATGATTGTGTGTGCCACTTACAGCACTCTCTTTATGGACTGAAACAGGCACCTCGTGCCTGGTTTCAGCGATTTGTTACTCATATCACTAAGATGGGCTTTTCTCACACCCGATGTGATTCCTCTCTATTTATTTTTTGCAGGGGTTTAGAGGTTGCATAATTACTTCTATATGTAGATGACATTATCCTCACTACTTCCTCTACAGGTCTATTACAGCGCATTATCTCTCTCATGGCCTCCGAGTTTGCCATGAAGGATCTGGGTGACTTATCATATTTTTTGGGAATTACTGCAACACGGGACACTAAAGGAGTTTTTCTATCTCAATGCAAATATGCGTTGGAACTTCTCGAGCGAGCTCACATGACAAATTTTAACCCCTGCCGAACTCCTGCCGACACACAATCCAAATTGGATCGGTAAGGTACCCCTGTCTCCGATCCCACTTTATACTGTAGCTTAGCAGGGGGGCTGCAATACCTCACGTTCACTAGACCTGACCTTGCTTATGCAGTCCAGCAGATCTATCTATGTATGCATGACCCTCAAGAGCCACATATGTATGCCTTAAAACACATTCTCAGATATGTTCGTGGCACCCTGTACTTAGGGCTACAGCTTCATCTTTCCTCTACTACCGGGCTTATTGTGTACTCTGATGCTTATTGGGGGGATGGCCTGCCACTAGACAATCCACTAGTGGCTACCGTGTTTTCTTAGGTGACAACCTTCTGTCCTGGTCCTCCAAACACCAACCAACTGTTTCTCGTTCTAGTGTTGAAGTTGAATACAGAGGTGTCGCCAATGTCGTAGCTGAAACATGTTGGCTACGTAACTTACTTCGTGAACTACACTCACCTCTTAACAAGGAAACTATTTTTTATTGTGATAATGTAAGTGTTGTGTACTTGTCTACCAATCCAGTTCAGCATCAATGCACGAAACATATAGAGATGGATATTCACTTTGTGCGTGACAAGGTTGCCACTGGTCACATCCGTGTTCTTCATGTTCCTTCTAGTCTTCAATATGCCGATATTTTCACCAAAGGACTTCCAATGTCTCTTTTCACGGAGTTCAGATCCAGTTTGGGTGTTCATTCTAGACCTCCCGCTCAAACTGTGGGGGAGTATTAGTGTACTTGTATATGTCGTGTATATATATTTGTTAGTGTAGCCCATTATTCTGGCCCATTATTGCCCTCTGTATTATTTGTGATGCATATATATTCCATATCAATGCAAAATATGAATGATGAGAAAATATCATT